ATTTTTCTTCTGCCTTAAGGACTTCCTTTAACATTTCTTATAATGCAGGTCTGCTAGAAATAAATCCTTTCAGCTTTTGTATATCTGAAAAAGTCTTTATTTTTACTTCCTCTTTTGTAGTTATTTTTTGTTGGATACGGGTTAATACTTTTTTTTCAGTACTTTAAAGACGCTGCTCCACTGTCTTCTCACTTGCTTTGTTTCCAGTGAGAAATCTGATGTCATCCTTATCATTATTCTCATGTATGTAACATCTTTTATCTGCTTTTAAGATTTTCTCTTTGTATACTCAGGGTTCTCAAAAAAAAAAAAAAAAGAAAAGAAAAGGATATACATGTGTATATACAGCAGTGTATGTGTGTTTATACATATATGTATATGTATATAAAGATATATATTTTAAGGAATTGGCTCACACAATTACAGAGGCTGGCAAGTCCAAAATCTGCAACATTGCCTGGCAGGCTAGAGACCCTGGAAAGAGCTGATGTGCAGTTCAAATCCGAAGGCCATCTGCTACAGAATTCCCTCTTGTTCTGGTGAGGTCAGTCTTTTGTTCTATTCAGGCTTTCAACTGTCGGGATAAGGCCCAATCACAGTATGGAGGGCAATCTGCTTTATTCAAAGTCCACAGTTTTAAGTTTTAGTTCCATCCAAAAACCCTCAAAGAAATATCCAGAATAATGCTTGGCCACATATTGCTGTGGCCAGCCAAGTTACACATAAAATTAAGCATCATATTCTTTATCACTGGTTTCAAGCAATTTTATTATGATATGCCTTGGTACAGTTTTGTTCATGTTTCTTGTGGTTGAGGCTACTAACATACTCTCATGAAACTTTCTCTTATAAAAACAAATTCCCACAACACTGTTTTCTCTTTTCCTGTCTATCTTCTTGAAAGAATAGTCTATATGCAATCTTAGCCAAAGGGCCAAAGAGTGAAAAAGATAGCTTATACCTCATTCTCTTTGTTTGCCTCAATTCTCAGTTTGGTTTCTATCCCACATTGTCACCACATCCAACGGCCTTTTCCCAGATGTTAGTCTTATGTTTATATTATTTGATTCTGGTTCTTTTGATCTCTTGCCCATATTCGAATTAGATAATATTGTATAGAACTGCCTGACCTAGATTCCTTGTCAAATGCAAATGCTAAAATGTAAGCTCCAAAGGATAGGAATGTTGATTTTATTAACGGATGCATCCTCAGTGCCTAAATTAGTGGAAGTCATATAACAGACATTCAGCAAATGTGGAATGAACAAATGAAATATAATTGGTGCTTAGCACCCTCCTCCCTTTCTCTACCCATTCATCTCATGACAATCTCATCCAAATCCACAATTGAGTTGTCTCTCAGATCTAAATCTCCAGCTCCAAAATTTCTCTAGTCTGCTTGTCTTTTAGCATTTGTATCATTGTTGAACATCTTGCCAACACCTCAAAATTAGAATGTCCAACTAAACTCTTTATCTATTATCTTAAAATTGCCTGTCATATTTTCCCTACTTCTTTTTACAATCCACCCAAACACCAAGCTAGAAACTTGAGTCATATTTGATTCTTATTTCTTCCCTTCCTTTCTATTCCTTTCTATTACCCTTTCTATTTTGCTGTCACTTTCACAGCATGAATCACATGTGCCTGTAACTATCCATCCCCATAATTATTGTCCTGGCTAGACCACCTCTCCATATTACAAGTCTCTCCCAACAGCTTCTCCAGTCCCTAGCCTGAGATCCCAACACATCCTACGTCTATGAATCCTGTGCCTTGACTACTAACTTTTCTCTGAATATATCTTTAGTTTCTATTCTTATCTTCCTTACCCCATTCCTCTCTGCTTAGATCCTACCCATCACATGAGGCCAAACTCAAACATAACCTTCACTATGAAGCCTTCTTTGATCCCCTGTTAGAAACGACAAATGACCATTCCTTTTTTTTTTTTTTGATCACTCCCTCTTTTAACTTTCATGTTTATACCATCAAGTATTGTACATTTCACATTCTGTCTTAGCACAGGGCCTGACATATATTAAACATTCAATAAATGTGAACTGTTTCACCATCAGAGAACTTATCTTCCTAACCCAGGAGTAAACTTCTTAATGGCAGTGACCTCCAAACAGGCCTCCAAAAGGGCACTGTGGTGGATTCAGTATAATGACAACTCATAGAAGCTTGATACCCAAAATGTTAGCCAACTTAATATATAATGCATCAGCAAATCAACTAGCACACAATGTTACAACTGGTTCCAGTAAAAGGAAAACATTATTTTAAAAGTTTAATAAAAACAAACAAAATATATTAAAATTTATAAATAATAAATCATAAAAAATATTTACAGGTAATTTTTACATTATGACTCAAAACTGCTCTTTTAGCAATAGCACTAGAACATAACTCTGATAAGTGAAAAAAAGTATATGATGTATTACTCTTACACATATTTTGGGAAGTTATTTTGCCTGAAAAGAATTAGTAAGCTAATAAAGTTTGTATAACTTCATAGCACTTTACTCAAAAGTTATCCACAATTATACAACCAGTAAATACATACTCCCATCAGAAACCCTAAACCTTGGATACCACTAAACTGCATTTAAGACATGAACTGATATCCTACCTCTGTCACTAACTGTGTAACCATAGCCATGTCACTGGACCTTTGATCCTCGGATGACTTAAAAACAGAATATGGAAAAAGATTCCTACCTGTCATATAAGGCTGTTATGAGGCTCACAGAGAAATGTGAATGACATATACACAGCCATGATGATATAAAAACTGCATATAGATTTTAAGCAAAAAGTGTGATAACTATTAGGAGAGTGGGAAGGGAAGAAATATGAGTAGGGTGTGTGGCAGAAGGAGAGCATCTAAATATTCATCTCCCATACATGGAATCAAAAATGAGTTAGAAAGGGAACCAAATGTTTTTCCTTATAAACTATGAAGTTACCTATTTGACATTTTAAAGCCAGGTAATGTGAATTTTTTTCACTTAATTTTGGGAAGAATTAGATTATCTTGGAAAGGTTTCCATGACCATTATTAAGTAAAAGCAAGATGCAGTATAACAGGATTCCATTTCTGTGAAATAGACAATGAAAAGAAACGTGTCTAAATACAATTTTAGGAGCATAAAAAGGGCAAGGAAGGTAAGGGCAGGTAAGCAAAGGAAAAGCAAGACAGGCATTTATAATAAAAGGAATACATATAATATGCCAGTGGAATAAAACTAAGTATATGGGAATATACGCAGAGATCTAAAAATTCAGAGTCAACAAACTGTCAAGGTGGCTAAATGTGATGCCAAGATTTCAGATCATTTCATTTCTTCCTTTTTCCCCTTATTTAATTTCTTCTTTTTTCAATAAGCATATTCAGGTATCATATTCAGGCTTGTATATATTCATTGGCCTGGTATTTACAAGGGGACTTCAAAAAGTTTGTGGAAAAATGGAATTAAAAGATAAAGACAAAAAATACATATAAATTTTATTTCTCAACATAAGCTCCATCAAGTTCAAGACAATTTTGTAAGCAATGATATCAGTCATTTAATCTATCCCTAAAGAACTGAGGGTCCTGGGAATTTAACCATGTCAATGCAGTCTTTCTTACATTAATTGAAGAAAAATGGGTGCTCTTTAAAGATTTTTTAAGATTAAGAAACAAAAAGAACTCATAAATAGCCAAATCAGGACTGTAAAGTGAAAGCCTAATGATTTTCCATCAGAACTCTTGCAAAATTACCTTTGTTTGATGAGAGGAATGAGCAGGGGCATTGTAGTGGTGGAGAAGGACTCTCTAGTGAAGCTTTCCCAGGAGTTTTTCCACTAAAACTTTGGCTAATTATCTCAAAACATTCTCTTAATAAGCAGATGTTATTGTTCTTTGGCCCTCCAGAAAGTCAACAAACAAAATGCCATAAGCATTCCAAAAAACTGTTGGCATAACCTTTGCTCTTCACTGATCTACTCTTGCTTTGACTGGACCACTTTCACCTTTTGGTAGCCATTAATTGTGCTTTGTCTTCAGGATCATACTGGTAAAACCACATTTCATCTCTTATTACAATTCATTGAAGAAATGCTTTTGGATCTTGATCCCACTTGTTTAAGATTTCCATTGAAAGCTCTGCTCTTGTCTGCAACTGATCTGGGCACAGTAATGGCACCCATCAAGCAGAAAGTTTGCTCAACTAATTTTTCAGTCAGAATTGTGTAAGATGAACCAACTGAGATATCTGTGGTGTTGGCTATTGTTTCTGCTGTTAATTGTTGGTCCTCTTCAGTTAGGGCATGAACAAGATTAGCTTTTTTCCTTGCAAATTGATGTGGATGGTCTGCTGCTGGGGGCTTTATCTTCAATATTGTGTCATTCCTTCTTAAAATGAGTTATCCATTAGTAAACTGCTGATTTCTTTGGGGCATTGTCCCCGTAAACTTTTTGTAAAGTATCAGTGATTTCACCATTCTTCCACCCAAGCTTCACCATAAATTTGAAGTTTATTCTTGCTTCAATTTTAGCAGAATTCATGTTGCTCTGATAGAAACTCTTTTCAAAGTGATACCTTATCTCCTTCTTAGTACCTCAAACTAGATCCTCTTTAGACAGGTTATAACAACTTAGTACAAATTTATTTTGGTGCAAAAAAATTTTGAAATTCATGCAGTTTTTTTCATAATACTCACTTTCCATGAACTTTTTGAAGACCCCTGTATTTTCCTGAGCTTGATTTATTCATTGCCATTGAAATGAAGGGCTGGAGAGATACGGGATGCACTAATTTAATGCTATTAAAACCTCCTCAAATCTTTTTTGAAAAAGAGATAGAGTATTTAAAATTTGAATAAATAAACTGACAAGCACTAAATTACAAGTAGCAGGGAGGGGAGGGGAGGGATCACACAAATAGGACAGAAAACTAGAACATCTTGGGGATGAGAAAGAGAAAGGCATAGAACCTTGGCACAGTACTCACCTGTGGTTGACACAACGTTCTCAGGGTTTTCACTGCAGAGTTTTGACAATAGACTGGTCTTGCCAGAACCGGTGAGGCCTATGCAAACCAGGTCATATTCTGGTCGTGCAGGTGGTGGTCCCTTGCAGCAAAGTGCTCTAAAACACTGCCAAAGGAGGGGGAAAGTGTAAAATAAGATTGTGAAAACAAACCTTAGTAACACTTAAAATGACTAAATAAGTATTAAGAAATAAATAATCTATTAATTATAAGGAGGAAAATGGTAACTTAATAGTGGAGAAACCTGGAGGACACTTCCTTAACCAAGCGATCAAAGTTAACCTCTCCAGTCATGAGACATAAGTCTACTTCATGGCCCCCCTTCCTGCTGTGGCAGGTGCACTGCAAGGGCCATGACATCATCATGCAGCATTCCTGCCAAGAATGCCCAACTGGAGTCTAAGCATGAGGAAACCAGATAAAGCCAATCTGAGGAGCATTCTACCAGTCGACCTACCTGTTCTCTAAAATACCACTGTCTTAAAAGTCAAAGAAAGATTGAGGAACCATTCCAGATTAAAGAAGACTAAAAAGATATAATAAATAAAATGCAGTGTATCTTGGATTGGATCCTGGATCAGGAGGGGAAAAAATGCCATAAATGACATTATTGGGACAACAGGTGAGAACTGAATACAGATTGCATGTCAGATAACAGTGTTGCATAAGGCTAAACTTCCCAAATTTAATAACTGTACTGTGGTTACATAAGGAAAATCATTTTTCTGAGAAAACACACCCATGATTATTCAGAGGTGAAGAGTCTTTATGTCTACAATTAACTGGCTCAGAAAAATTCCAAACCTCCATCTCCATCACCATATGGTGAAGGGTGTGATAAAGCAAACATGGTAAAATGTTAATGACTAGTGAGGATGAGTGAAGAGTCCACGGGAATACTTGTTGTTCTAGTCTTACAACTCTTTGACATCATTTCAGAATAAAGATTTTAAAACCCATTAAATTGAGTCCCTGTATACATCACTACCTTCTCGTCCTTTGTTAAATTCTGTTTCAGGTCACCTGACCTCAGGTACTATGAACTGTAGTATAGTTGTGCACTGCATAAACATGTTTGCTCTGCAAGAGTTAAAGACAAGGGGATCTGGAATATCATTCATGCAGTTTTTGATCTTTCTACTTATCCTGCATCCATTTATTAGGGGCCAACTATGTTCCAGATTACAGAACCTGAAATATTTAGGCCCTGAATGACTCGTGAGAGAAGGAAAGAGGGGAGTCAGGGAGGGAGGGAGGCAGACCTACTCACTTCTGGGTCATCTGGAGATTATGAGAGTAGACCCATAAATAGCCTGTGTTGATTCTTCTCACTCAGATAAAAATCTGAGCCTTAATTGGCTGTCATGCTTTCATAAATCAAGCATGATTATTTCTCTTCCTCATTGCTCACATTTATTCAATAAGTCTGGTCCATACAACCTCTGAAATAGCTCTAGAATCTGTCCACTTCTCTCCAGCCCAGGCCATCATCACCTGGATAACATCAACATTCTCCCACTGGTTCCAGCAGATTCACTCTTGCTCTCCCCACAGCAGCCACTGCCATTGCTGATAAAATGAAAATCTGATCACATCTGCTTACCCTGCTTCAGTGACTTCCCCCTGCTCTTGGGCTCTAATCCTTATCATGGTCCACATGACCCTGCCCGATCTGTTCCAGCCAGCCCCACCAGCCTCACTCCCATCACTCTCACCCCCCTCCACTCCAGCAGGGCTGCCCCCTCTATCACACCTTGAGGCACTTACATATGCTGCTCCCTCTTCCCCCAGCTCTTGGCTTAGCCAACTCCTCATCAGTTTTTAGAGTAACCACCCCCTCCTCAGGGCAGTCTTCTCTGATCCTAAGACCGAGTTAGCAACTCATGTCAAGCTCTCGCAGTACTTTGTGAATTCATCTCACAGACAATGAAAGTTACTTTTTTCAACAGCCTGTGAACCATGTCTGTCCATCTTTATCCCAGTATCACCAGTGCCTAGCAGAGAACAAGGCACAGAATCTACCTTCAATAAATAATTGTTGAATGAAACACAAACAACATTTAAATTTCACCCAAGAAAAGAAAACATAAAAGCTAATATAGGATACTTGATCTATGTTCTTTGACCCCCCCCCCCCCCCCCCCCCCCCCCCCCCCCCCCCCCCCCCCCCCCCCCCCCCCCCCCCCCCCCCCCCCCCCCCCCCCCCCCCCCCCCCCCCCCCCCCCCCCCCCCCCCCCCCCCCCCCCCCCCCCCCCCCCCCCCCCCCCCCCCCCCCCCCCCCCCCCCCCCCCCCCCCCCCCCCCCCCCCCCCCCCCCCCCCCCCCCCCCCCCCCCCCCCCCCCCCCCCAGCAAGCTTCAAGAAAATAGCGTCAAAGCCTTAATTCTTTTGTTTCAATGCCAGAAGTTAGCCTCATTCCCAAAAGAGCAGTTTTGATGCACAGGATCTACCTTCCCTGTAGATTAGAGCTTATTTTCGTGCTCAATTTTCTTTCCCCAGTTTTTAAGAGATCCTGCCTACTTCTGGTAAACAATTCTATGATTCATATTCTTCATGGATTTATTAAATTCTAATCATATTTCCTCTCAGTCTTTTCAAGCCTGAGGAGTCCTAATTATTTCAGTCTGTCTTCATATAGCAACTCCTCCTACTCTTTCATCATGTTAGTCACTCTCCTTTGGCCTTACTTTAATTTCATTCGCCTTCAACTACTAGATTAATGACCACAACTATAAACAGCATTCTAGATGCCAACACATCACATCCTGGATTTGTATGGAGGCTGGGTAATACTGTCTTTTTGCAAACTTTTTCTTATACATGAAAAAACAAGACTCCCAGACTCTTGAGAGTGTTTCTCAGAGACAGGTTTATGTTTGTATGTATATATGTATTCCCTCAAAGAAGGCCACTAACTAGTAGCTGTTCACACTTAGGAGAGGTCTTCCATGCTCAGCTATGATGGGCAACGACACTATGTAGTCACCTGGTTTTTCTTACCGGGCTGCTTTGGTCTTTGCTGGGAGAAGGGGACTGACCTAATTCCAGCTCTGAGACCCCCACTCTGCTCAGCTTCACTGCCAGAACTCTCTGGACTATCTATCTCCTAGAGGGGAGATAACCCCTCAAACTAACCCGGCCCAAACTATCATAAATCTTAAATACAAAATAAAATTGTGTGTAACTGATTGCTGTAACACCCTGTTTAAATTACTCATATACCAATATCACTCCACATATTTCAGCCAAAAGTTCCACAATTTTATCTTCATGTTCATGTTCTTTTTAAAATCAGAGGACAAAAACTTTGTAGTCAAGTCCGTTAATATCTATATCACCTGTTAATTTATTCTAGGCTAACTAAGACATTTCTGACATAAAAGACAATCTAGCCGTGACATTCTATTCCACTCTCTTCTCTGTTTTCTCCCCAGTGATGTCATCTCCACTCCCATGATTCCAATCATACAGAATGTAACAACACCCAACCTGATATTTCCGCCCACACCTCCCCCACCCAGTCTTTTCTGAATTCCAGGCTCTGTAGTTCCAACTGTTCTGTAAGACCCAAACTAAGTCTGAATAAAACAAAAACCTCCCCTGAAACTACAGGCTACAGAAAGAAGGTTTTTCGGAATGTAAAGACTAGACTGACAGTTCTTACAAGGCAGAATCTTTTAAATAAATCACAGAATCTTAGAAATAAATATGCTACCTGAAATAAATAAACCCTGTGGTTAACAGGAATAGTGTCAGACTTTCAGCTAACTTTTTAAAAACTTTTAAGAGTATCCTACTGCAATTGGGGGAGGAATGTTCATGTTTTTTGAGTCAGTACCTAAAATCTATACAGAGTTTTCATTTGTTTTAAACTTAACGAAGCTTTGGATCTTCTAGTCAACTTACTTAAAATTACTCATTTTGGCCTCTAGACTATACTCTACCAAAGTTCATTGTGTTTGTCTCCTACAGCAGCTCTTGCATTGTTAAGAGTAAGCCCTTTTCACTGTTGTACAATGCAAAAGACAATGCTGTCGGCAGTCCTGACAGCAAGCGGCAAACTCGGGCTTCATTCCCAGGCCAGACACTAAGGCATTGTGTAACTCTGCTCAAGCCCCTTAAACCTATCCATGCTTCAGTTTCCCCATGATTAACCAGTAACATTTTAACACTATCTGCCACTTCCTTTCTTCAAGAGGATGTTATGAGGCATGGGTTCAACACATTATGCTACTAAGAAAGGTGCCATATGGGGAAATAACTGTTCATCCTGATGCTCATTCTCCTGAGGTATCTTGGGTGATAGTGACATTCCTTGAGCAAGGGCCTGGCAGCCCAACAGACAGCCCAGAATGTAGTACTTCCCCTTTCATCCACCCACAGCTGCCTCCACATGCTCCATCCCTTCTCAGTTCAATCCAACACACTGAAGACACACAACCCTGGAAACTTACTTGAAGCAGGTAACAGAGAACAGAGCCAGTCTGAATGACAACTACACCCTCTGGGGGTGCCAAGCAAGGTCATGGTCTCTGTTGCCTAGACTACTTCAGTTCACAGGTCTTTTCAGGCAGGATCACTGGTGACTTGCTCTTTTTTGAAAGAACCCAGTATACCTACCATATTATGTAAGGACACAGGATGTTTCCCCCTAGTGTGCACCCACAAGCTTCTACCAACATTGTCTGTGACTCTGTGTTGCAGATACTAGAAAAATCGTGTAATCAGATAATCGTTAGCTGAAATATGGATTAGGTAAAACCCAGAAGCAAGAACCCTATGAATATTTGCTAGAAGAAGGAATATTTGTTTGAGCATGTATTAGAAAAAGAAAAAAAAAAAAAAAAGCAAACCATAAAATTGCAAGGGTGAATTGAGGACTTGCATTTTAGTCTGGTGGTCTAGCACCAAGACAACAAGATCATCTTAAAATGTCATCATTTCTGTTGGAGACAATGCCAAATGTTTGGCAGGCCCAGCAGAGCACTGTACACAGTAGGTACTTGGTGAATAACTGCTCAACAAGTCAACACTGTAAAGCATTAATTAAGCATTTAACTGTATATCTCATTTCCCTCTATATTTGTACCTTAATGACTCCAGATACC